TTCAAATACGGCACTCTTTCGCATTTTAATATTAGCTGATAAACGAAATTCGTCCTATTGTAATTTGTAGTAATATGGTAATTATATTTCCGAATCGCCTTCTCCCAGAGATTTTATTCCCATACGAAAAATTGTACACCTTGTAATATTTTATGAATTCTTGAAGGAAGTTAGTCGACTGTTCTACATATCATGGGTGATAAATATTCAGGACGCAGTCTTTTTTAAAAATTTTTATTTTTGCCAACGTTTCAACCCAAACATGTGGGTCATCTTCAGGGCGTGGTTTGAGCACTGAGGTTGTTCATGTACTGTACTGAGTGTACTGTATACTGAGGCTGTTCAGTACATGAACAACCTCAGTGCTCAAACCACGCCCTGAAGATGACCCACAGGTTTGGGTTGAAACGTTGGCAAAAATAAAAATTTAAAAAAAGACTGCGTCCTGAATATTTATCACCCATTGCAATATTTTAATATATTAAACAATGAAAACGGCGAGGAAGCTATACTAACCTTACTTGGCAGACGATTTTTTTTAATGTGGCGTTCAATTATACAATAACCGTTCTCCATTACCATACATTTAACTTTTACATTGTTTCACTCTTGCAAAACAATCAATTTTTGCATACGACCTTTTGCACTAACAGTAGTGAAATGCATGTTCAGTTTGCATTTTTTTTTTTTTTTTATTAAGGATAATCAATATGGAATCTTCAAATACGGCACTCTTTCACATTTTAATATTAGCTGATAAACGAAATTCGTCCTATTGTAATTTGTTAAAATATGGTAATTGTATTTCCGAATCGGCTTCTCCCAGAGATTTTATTCCCATACGAAAAATTGTATACCTTTTAATATTTTAGCCAATGAAAACGGTGAGAAAGCTATACTGACCTTACTTGGCAGACGTTTTTTTTTTTTTTAATGTGGCGTTCAATTATACAATAACCGTTCTCCATTACGATATATTTAACTTTTGCATTGATATATTATCACTATATCTCGTACATCGTTAATGGGTTCAAGAATGAAGACGTGTTATTAAAATTATTCCTTTCAGTATATAATATGTTAATATAATTTGTGTCTAACGGGAGGATACAAACTATCGACTATTGCCCATCCCTAATAGAAACTCCTCTTTCCTACAGGATGTCTACTGCAATCATTTTTTTGTTCTTTTTTTTCTGCATATATGCCTGCACAAATGTCTATCAGTGCAAATAGTTTTAAGTGTCATAGTATTAATTGTTTTGTATATAGTTTCGTTTGTTTTGTATATAGAATGTTTACCTCATATTTTCTTTACATTATTAATTTTTTTTTTGATTGATTTTATTTTGGCCAGATGTAATCTTTTAATTTTGTTCTGTTTTGTTACTCTCAAGGGATTGTGTCCCAGAATAAAGTTATCTTTCTATCTATATGTGATCTTGGTTTTCCTACTCTTAATTGGCGAAACGTTAGCAAATTAACTTTTCAACTGTATGTTGGAGGCTTTATTGTTTGGCTTTTTTTCTTTTATAGCATTATCACTTTATGTATCTTTTCTTGCATAATGCTTATTTTAGCAACATTTTTCATTATTATAGTATGCTTATTTTGATTAATTCCGCGGTGCACACCGTTTCCAAACTGAGTGTTTTTGGTAATAATTTTATAACTCCGTTATTTTTCGTTAGATTTCATTTATGAAGAATCATTTTTCCTTATGTTATAGCGTCACGTTATTTAAAAAAAAAAATATACGAAAATATAAAAAAAAAAAATCTCGTGCGGTATACGCATCACACAACTTTCACTTACGACCCCGAATTTGGATCAAATAGATGGTACCAGCCTTCGTAGACGGTTACGAATCCCTCAAGATGAATACCTTTCCATTCTAATTGAAAAAGTAAGAAGAAAGAGTAAAGATTTGAAAGTGGAAGATCTGATGTTAGTAGAAAGGGCTAACCAATTATCGAAAAAAAAATAAAAAATAGAGTGGTTAGATGCAAAGTGTTTCTTGGCCTTTAAACCAATGGCCTTTGTTTAGCGATCAGAAAATGTTTACAATTGAAGAAAAATTGAATCGCCAAAATGATCGTGTGTACTCACACAGATATAAAGTAGCTCAGGAAGAGTGGAAAGATGTCACCACCCTTCCTCAGTGATGGTTCGGTGGGGGAGGGGAGTTGCTTTGGTGGCACCACAAAGCTCCATTTTTGTGAAAAAGGTGTTAAAACAGCCGCTAAAAACTAGCAAGACGATATTTTGGAACCTGTTGTCAAGCCTCTAATTGATACTCTGTTTGCTGGAAGTCATTGGGTTTTCCAGCAGGATTCCGTTCCAGCTCACAGCTGCGGCATGATCCATGCTTTTACTTGTACCTTAGTCCGGAAATTCATAACTCTGTCGAAATTGGCCCCCCACAGAAATTCAAAAACCCGTCAAAACATGCCCCCCTCAAAAACTTTGATGGCGCAATTTGCGCCATGAAACCCCTTTCTGGACACACCTGATATTAAATAAGATAGGCCGTTCTTAAATTTTCATTTGGTTTGGCAATGGTCCAGCCCATGATATTGTGGCTTGAAATGAAAATGTACGATAATCCTAACATATCTTAATCGCAATTATAATCATTCAAGCCTCTACAGCTTCTCCAATGTTTACTTTCACTTATCTATAAGTGTAAAATATGGTAAGAGTAAGTATTGCGATCGTGAAATTTTTTGAGTCTGAGTTTTCAACTGTGAACTGAGTTTTGAGGTCCCCTGAGTCCAAATAACCAAGTCCCGAAAAACGGTCTGTGTGTGTATGTTAGCAGTCTTGATCAAAAACGAAAAGTCGTACGAAACTTATATTACATATTTAAGGTAAATATATGTCTTAGACGTGACAGCAACTTTTCCCTTAAAATCGGCTAACCGGAAGTGCCACTTTGTATCAACACTGAAACACATTTTTACAATTTTCTCAAAAACGACTCAAACGATTTTGATTAAACTCGGTGTATCATTGTATAATTAAGTGGTCTTTAATATCATTTAGGTCTTATCCCCATTGATGTCACTTTACAGGACTTAAATGCTGAATGTTCATTTGCGTCTTCTTCTTAAGTACTTTTAATATGGTTAATTTTAAATAATTAATTGTCTTATAACTTTTGAAATAATTTGATAATTGAATAAAGGATAAAAAAATAAAAATGCTTATCCAGGTCGAAAGTTAATCTCTGGAATTACTAGTCAGAAGGTATACTTATAATATATCTTTGGAAAGCGGAGAATTTCAGAAAAAAAATAACTAATATATAAAGTAATGGAGAGTGGAAAAAAATGATAAATAATATTTTTTGAAAACTAATAATATTTAACATAAATCACATGTTTTCAAGGAAATTAAATGAAATTTACTAACTAAATGGAAAATTTTAAAATATTTTTAAGTTTGAAAAAAATTAAGTGTCATTCCATCTGCCATCAGCTGGATTAGAACCTTAGATCTAGAGCATTGGAAGTCAGCGCCCTACCACTGACCTATCACACTCCCCTGAAGGATTCTATAGTTGGTCTATATTAGGGATAGGCGATAATAATAGTAGGAGGTAGATATCGAAAAATTATCGATAGTTTATTAACTCAAGGAGATACTGATTTAAGGAGAAATAGATAATTACCACTAGAATTTTATTTTATTTTTATTTAAGGAAAGTAATGAAGCTAAATAAATGATTGAAGATGTTTATTTATCAGAAAATACCTAAGCATAAAACACTTAATTATATCCTAAAATAATCTTTTGAATTATCTAATTGGTATCAAATAAATACAATTACTTATAAAATAAAAAAAAGTATGAAATTGAAAAATAATGTAAATTAATACTGAAAAAACAAACAAATAAATAATATAACAAAAAAAGTTGATAGTTAATTAAAACAATTTTAAAAATAAAATACAAATTAAGTCACTGTTGGCTTGATTTTGTCTTTTTTTTTGTCCTATCCTTGTAGGATATACGGAGGTTTTCCCGGGCCAGGAGAGAGGGCGAGGAGTTAATGTCAGAGTTAAAAGCTCCTCTGGCACTGGAATACGAACTCGTACTTCTTTTATTATGGTATCTTCTGTTTATCAGGTTGCTGGGAAACAAATGTATTGCACCACTCGACCACTCCTGATTTTATTGTGCCATTTAACCACATATTTCTTGATAAAAATATGAACATCTCAGCTTTCCACTGACTCAATCGGTTACTTATTTCGGAGATAAATTTGCCAGCTGAAGAAAACATTTGCTCGGAAGGTACTGATGATTCCAGTACGCACATATATTTTTACGTATTTACTTTTTTTGAGTTCACAGAAGCTTATATTCATCTTTTGGTCTCTAAGTATGACTAAATGCCACCACTTCATGAAGTTTTTGGTACATCACCAGTTGTTAAAGTACCATCAGAAATACTTGCACTGGCTGCTGTTGAACGGTCAGCTTTACTTTTATTTCAACTGGCCAGACCATTTTTCGATTGAAGAACATTGAGTAGCAAAAAAACTGCAAATTTTTAACTTTGTGAACTTCCGAGCTATTTTATTATGTGCAGAAATAACACAAGTGTTTAAACAATTTTCTTGAATTAAATATAACATGAAAATTATTTGATTTTTGTTTTTAATTAGTGTTTTATTTTTCATATAACCAAAATATAAAATTATTAGACAAAACACGATAAACCAGTTATCAAAAATAAATATCCACAGCCATGTTGAATAAGCCTGTAAGTCTAAAACCAAGAACATTGAGTAGCAAAAAACTGCAAATTTTTTACTTTGTGAACTTCTTATTTCTGCTCAACTTTCAATTCATCATTAAGATAAAGAGTATTATCATTAAGATAAAGAATATTATCATTAAGATAAAGAATATTATCATTAAGATAAAGAATATTATCATTAAGATAATGCACGTAATAGTTTTTTTTTTTTTTTTTTTTATGCTATTCTATTCTAAACATAACTGAGGCTTAGACTGACCAGGAAAACTTAAAATCATGGCCTCTAATATGATTGATTTTCTAGGCTTTTGCAGTGAGAAAATTAATATATTACTGGAAAAAATATAAATTAAATTATTACCATATCATCTTTCAAAACATGTATATAATTGTGAATATTATAATATAAGAAATTATAACGTGATGGCCGAGCAGGTTGGGAGATGGGTCCCAGAGTATCCTGTTCTGAACGTTGTATAACAGATCATTATTTGTAAAACAGAACAAATAAAATATAACATTAAGGAGCTACATTAATATTAACCATTATTTTAGCAATTATTAATTAAATAATTAAGATATATCATGTTCTTTTTTCAATTTGTAGCTTAGGAGGATTGTCCACTTCCAGAAAAAGGTAACTCTTAAATTTGATATCTTCAAACCGGAAATCTTTTTCAACTGGTCTAAATTTTATTCTTCTTAACATTTTGGACAATGCAATTTTTAGAAATATTGTTCCATAATATTCACCTGAAAATATACGAGTTTTATTTTATTTTATTTATTTTTATTATATTTTTATTTGTATATGTATTCTTAAAATAAAATTATATAGGGTATATGCACCAGTAGCTGACATGCTTAAGGAAATATCTTTGAACTTTTAGGAGTAAAAACGTAGTTGTACGGGCTAAGGCGCTTGCAATAAGTAATCAAAGTTAAGCAACGTCGAGCGTAGTCAGTACTTGGATGGGTGGCAGCCCGATTTGAGTGACCTTCCACCACGAAAAGATGCCCGAGATTCATCCTCCCCCCACCGTGGGTATGTGAGACCCGTCAGCCTACTGGAGGCAACTCACACCACAGGGAGATGAGTCACCATGTGGTAGACATAGCTCCGGGTCCTCCAGGTTGGGGGTTGGGCATAGGGATAATAACCCTATCCCATCAAAAACACCATATTAAGAAACCAAACACCAGCCTCGGAAAAATCTGACTGTCCTAACATGGTAACGACCCCGGCTTTGTATAACGGAGTCCATATCGGATCATGGAATGTTCGGAGCTTATACAGACCAGGAGCCGCCCAAATGGTAGTTAATGAAGTAAAAGGGTACAACATACCGTTAACAGCCATTCAAGAGGTAAGGTGGCCAGATGGTGGGGAAACCATTATAGACGGCTTTACACCGGGAGAAACGACAAAAATGGGACAGCTGGCACTGGATTTATAGTTAATCCGGCCGCAAGGAAGTCAGTAATAAACTTCACGCCAGTTCATGAAAGGATAAGTGTGCTACGCGTAAAAGGTCTTTGGTTTAATATCACGATTATTAACGTGTATGCACCAACTGAAGAAAAAGAGGATGAGGTGAAGGATGATTTCAACGATCAGTTAGAAAAACTTGTGGACCAGGCTCCAAAACATGACATAAAATTATTCATGGGAGATTTCAATGCCAAGATAGGTGGAGAAACCCAATTTAAGCCCACCATCGGAGGTCAAAGTTTCCACGAAACTAGCAATGACAATGGAGTGAGATGCATTAGTCTGGCAGCAGCTAAAGGTCTAGTAGTAAGCAGTACGATGTTCCTGCACAAGGGCAAAAGTATACCTGGGTAAGTCCTAAAGGAGCAAAAAGCCAAATCGACCATGTGCTAATATACAAGAGGGATCAAAGCTCCAGACAAGATATATGAAATTATCGTGGAGCAGACTGTAATTTGGACCATACTTTGATTAGAATCAAACTCTGTCAGAGGTTGAAGCGAATCCACCAAATTGGGAACCAAGTGGAAAGAAATAGGTACGAAGTCCGTAATTTGAAAAACCCTATAGTACAAGCTGAATTTCAAATTGAGCTGAAAAATAAATTCGAACCCTTGAACTCGGAAGGACTTACGGTTGACCAACACTGGGAGGCACTAGAGTCAGGGCTAAAACAAACAGCTGAGGAAGTAATAGGGATTCAGGAAAAAAGAAAAGCCAAGAAATGGTTCACAGAAGCATGCTAAAAGGCAGTTGAGGAAAGAAGAAAAGTCCTCTGCTTACAAACTGATCAAGCTATGCTGGACAAATACACAGCCGCCAGGAAAAAAACAAACAAAATAATAAGAACAGCCAAAAGAGAATTCCTCAAAGAAATATTACAAACTATTGAGGAAAACTGGTAGGCTGGAAATATATGCGAATTCTTCACAGATATCAGGAAAGAAAGGGTACGATATAAAGTGAGAAATACACAAATGGAAGGGAAAGATGGCAAATTGACGGCATCAAAAGAAAAGATTCTAAGCATCTGGAAAGAACACTTTCAGCAGCTGCTTAATCAAGGGCACCCCACAAATGAAGAAGACATGGACCACACTGAGGACATCGACCCACTTGTGGTTGAAAAAACAGATATTCTGGATGTGGAAATAGCTATCGGCGGACTTAAAAGGAGAAAGGCTCCAGGAATAGACAACCTACCATCAGAATTGTTCAAGTATGGGGGAGAAGAACTCAAAGTCAAGCTGTTAAATCTAATCCAGAATATATGGGAGAAGGAACGGATACAAGAAGCATGGAACAGAGGGTTGATCTGTCCTATAGTTAAGAAGGGCTCCATATATGAATGTGACAATTACAGAGGCATAGCACTTCTTCCGGTCACCTATAATATAATGACTAATATTCTGCTAAATCGGATATATCTGTATTATAAAAACATAATAGGCAACCATCAAACAGGATTCAGGAGGGGGGGGGGGGAGTACGCTAGATCAGATATTCATCCTGAAACAAGTACTTGAAAAACGATGGGAAGTAGATCAGGTTACATTATTTGTCGACTTCAAATCAGCCCATGACTCCGTTGACAGAAACTGTCCCTGGAAGATCATGACCGAGTTGGGTGTTCCCGGGAAATTAATGAGGTTGACGAAGGCGTGTACAAATGATCCTAAATGCAGGATACTAATACAAGGAGACGTATTTGAAGCCTTTGAAGTTCGAACGGGTTTGAGGCAGGAAAATGGACTCTCGCCGATGCTGTTCAACTTAGCACTAGAGAAAGTAATAAGAATAACATCACGCGAAGATGGAGGGATGCACGTTGGAATGAAACATAAAATCCTAGCATTTGCCGATGATATAGCTGTCTTCGGAAGTAATCAAGAGGATATTGAGAGACTCACTCAGACTCTATTAAAAGAAGCAGAGCAAATCGGACTAAAGGTCAATGTAGATAAAACAAAATACATGATAGTTAGCCAAAACATCCACGCTAATAACATGATCTGCGTGGACTCTAAGTCATTCCCGAAAGTAGACAGATTCAAATACCTCGGCTCCACAATAACCTCAATAAATGATCAACTAACAGAGATAGACCAGCGAATAACAAGTGCGAACAGATCTTTCTTCTCTCTTTCAAGGTACTGAAATCCAGAAAAATCTCCAGAAATCTCAAAATAAGGGTGTGATATTACTTTTATGTAGAATATTCTTGTCAATAAATCTCATAGTTTTTGAGATATTCACCAATAAATATTCCTTACCAATAAATATTCACCCTTTCTCATCAAAACCTAACACAGAAAACTTCAGGACTTTTTACTGGTTATTAAGACGAGCAGGCTAACCAATGTGCACAACACCGCACGTTGCTCGGCAACCTGATAACCGAAGTTATAGATGATAAAATAATAACGAGTTTGCGTACCAATTCCGGGAGGGCATCAATCACCCCCTGGCCCGGAAAACCCCGTATAGCCTAAAAGACAAATAAGGGGAGAACAAAAAAAAAAAAAAACACTATTCCTTTCTCATACCTATCTACCTCTCGTCTTTCCCACAGAAAAGTATGAGAACACTTCTCTAAAGACTGAAAAATATTTTGTCTCATATCATAGCTTAAACTGTGCAAGTTTATCTGTCCATAATCGAGAATTATTATTTTATAAGAGTAGATAAACCAACAATAAATTACTATGTTCCTTCCATGTTGGATTTTAGACATGAAAGATTCAGTAAATCAAAATATTTACCTGGGCAGTTTCTAATACCAATTCCAAATGGTGAGTAACTAAATTTCAAATAATCGTTTTCATCGAGAAAGCGATCTGGGTCAAAAATGTTTGGATTGTTCCAATATTTTGGATGCAATTTTATATATCTGAGCAGGTAAACCACAATAGCACCACGGGGTATTGTTATTCCATCTGAAAACAAACATATCATTGTTAAGGACCAAATTTATTTGTACTTAGATATTTTTTCTAAGCCCTGCAGAGCCTTATTATTTTAAATAATTTAAAAACAAATTATATTAATTTTTCACATTTTAAGTAATTTTTGTCATGTTTATAAATAAGTAAATTAAAAGAAAAGAAGAGAAAAACAGAAGGAATACAGTAAAAATACTTTGTAGATTACCTAAAATATTTGTACACATAATACAGTATTTGGAAATATTTTGAGCGTCCCATGTACCTGAGCAAGAAATTTCGATTTGATTTTTCCTGAACTAATTTTCAGTTTACTCTTCAAAATTCATTAGATTCAATGTCGAGCATGTCTTAAATTAACCTTATTTCGTGAAATTTGTTATAATGCAATTTGCCACATCGACTTGTAACCCACTACTTGTAACAAAATTCATTATTTAATTTTCCAATGAAACCTTTCACTAAGAAAATGAGGAAAGAACAAAGAGTAAATAATAAACATTCTTTAGGAATCTCCAAAAAACTTATAAGGCTCATTGGCATGACTCCCGATAACACATTCTGTAAGCTGAATGTCGGACAGAGATGCTCTAAGGGATTCAAAGGACTAAGGGAAAGGATTACGGTAAGGCAACACACTGCAAGTCTCCTGCTCTTCAACCACAATTTGTAATTGCTTCTACTACTATTCCTTGGCATTACATATCGATGTGGTCCTTTGTCTTCTCGAAAAGTCTTTGCCAGGTAGTTTGGTCCTGGCCCAGCTCTTATACAGTTTTGTCTTTTCCTGGTTTACACACATTCTCCGCAGCCTTAGCTTCTCTTAAGGACTCAAAAGATCTTGCGATGATCTCCATGTCATAAGCGAAGCCGAGTACCTGGATGAGCCGGTTGAAAACGGTGTCAGAGGTCTGTATGCCCGAATCACATAGGACTTTCTCCAAGGCAAGGTTGAACAACAGGCAGGCGAGACCATCGCCTTGTCTAACATCTCTGGTAGATACAAACTGTGGGGGGAGACCTGACTGAATCCTCACTGTATAAGCTCTACCATCCATTGTCATTCTGATCAGTCTAACCAACTTCAAAGGGACTCCAAGTTCTCTCAAAGCTTCGTACAACTGAGGCCTTTTAATATTATCATAAGCTCTCTGAAAATCGACAAAGAGGTTGATCAAACGTTTTTACTAAACATTTGATCAACTGTAGATCTTTCACCACTGAAACCTGCTTGGTATTTTCCAACTTCTCTCTAAAAATGGGAGAATTTTCCTATAATTACATTAGAGAGAACCATATTGAAAAATATTGAAATCTAAAAAATATTCAATATAAGAAATATTGTGAAACTTCACTTACCAACATTTATATCAGCAGTAGCTTCTTTCCCAAGAAATGGAGGACCAAGAAATCTAAAGGATTCTTTTAGGAACCTTAAATAAAATAAGCAAGTATTTGTAATAATATTTTTAAAAATACACTTAAAACTATTTTATTAAAATATACTGTAATGTAAATATTACGTAGTGATTTTAAATACTGGTGCGAAGTCAGTGACGTCACAAACTACTATCAAAAATGGACAAAGAGACAAACAATGACGAGGGGGAGAAGTGCGATATGAGAGGCAGAATATAGCCAGTCGGTTTGTAAAGAGGATCGAGAGAAGACAAGTTGAGTGTGAGTTAACAAGTAATGAGTGTCAAAGACAAGAAAATAAAAGAACAAGAGAAGATTCTAGAAGTTGAAGACAACAATATAGAGGAAGATTCGCTGCAGAACAGGGTGAGTAAAATAAAAATAGACAGTTCGAAAGAGCACCAAGAGTAGAATCCGACAAAAAAATGGAAATTCATAAAAATGTTATGTACTATTAATGTACGATTTAATATTTATAATTGAGGAATGTGTGTTTGTTGTCTCAACCCAATCTGAGAATTAATTATTGCGTAAAATAAAGATTATTTGATTCAGAAACTGTTTTGTTTACTTTTCAAAGGGAACGTGACCTTACAATACTTTAAACTATTTTATTAACAATTTTATTTAACTATTTTATTAACATATACTTTAAACTAAATATAGCACGGGCTCATTAACGTGTATGAAGAGCGTCTCATGAGTGGCAAATGTGGGGATGGAAATTCCTTGGAAGTTCCTCCCGGCTAAGTCTGACAGACTCGCTGACTAACGATGAGGGGAGATAGAACGCCCTACTGATATATCTCTAGTTCACCATACACCACAAATAGCCATGGATCTCCCTTAGGTAAAACGGTCATTATCCGGAGGTAAACTAGTCCTCTGTTCGGGTCTACGGGTGGGGATTGCTTTAGGGGATTCATGGCACAAGCTGAAAAACAGGGATTTAAGTATTGGTATGTGGAAGGTAAGGAGTTTGAATCCAGCAGGTGGGTTAAAATCGGTCGCGAATGAGGTTAATGGGTACAATTTGGATATTGTGACTCTGCAAGAGGTTCGCTGGCTAGGGAAGGGCTGGAAAATACAGCGTACTTTCGCTGGATATGGGAAGAAAAGTACGCTATTTGGTACGGAGGAAGCGGGAATGATTGTTTAGGTACCGAGTTTCTAATTAGGAATAGATTGCTATTCGCTTTGAGGGACGTACAATTCTTTACTGATAGAATTTCTGCAGCCATATTTCAGGGACGCATGTTTAAAATCACTTTAATAAATATACATTGTTCGACCCGATCGAGGAAAGTGACGATGAAGACAAATGCGAATTTTACGTTAAAACTCGAATGAGTTAACGATAAACTACCACAAAACTCGATGAAAATAATTATAAGTGACACAAATGCAAAGGTGGGGAGGAAAGAAGTTTATTTTCCGACGATTGGTAAAGAAAGTTTGCAAAAATATAATAATGATATCGATATAGAAGTTAATAAGTTTGAACACGTTGAGAAGTATAGGTATCTAGGGTCTAGGATAACTATAAAAAAATGATTTTGAAGAGGAGATTAAGGTTAAGCTGAAGGCAGGAAATGCTTGTTATTTTTCTTGATTTATTTTTCTACTTAGCTCACACCTCTTGTTCCGTAATTTAAAAAATAAAATCTATACAACCATTACCTTACCTTCAGTTCTTTATAAATGCGAAACGTGGCCGCTTACATTAAGGGATGAGCAACGCCAATATAATGTTGTGTAGAATATTCGGGCCGTGAAGGATGAGTTAACCAGAAAGTTTAAACGGTTGCACAACACCGAATTGCGTGAACTTTATCCAGTTAATATAATTGAGATGATTACATCGTGGAAAATCAAATATATGGTGAATTAAATGGGCTTGTAAAATTGATGGGCATAGTAACGAAAGAATTCCTAAAAAGTTAATATTTTCTGTACCCAATTGTAAATGTCCAAGGGGTAGATCGAAGCGAAGGTGGGAAGATGGCGTTAAGCCGAACTAAAGAGAATAGGTTGAACGGCGAATGGTGGAGGGAGATGTGTAACAGGCGATTGGTGGTGTCTCCATCGAACCTTTATTATTATTATTATTATACTTTAAATTATTGGGTTGGCTAGAAAATAATATAGGATTCAGAGCTTCCTTTAAAATACCCCTCTATATAACAACCTGTTTACATTTACTGGATTATTCATTTGTATGAATGTCAACACTTATTAATCCTCTTCCATACAATTATTTTTGTTGACCTCTGTTGAATTACACTTCTTAGAAATAATTCAGTCCGTCTAAGATGTCAATGAGTGATTTTCGTATAATTTTGTTTTACGAGTTCAAAATCGGGCAAATGGGGTTTTTCGTTTTTCGAATGGGGTGAATGGGGTTTTTCGATTTTAGAATGGGGCGAATAGGGTTTTTCGATTTTAGAATGGGGCACAGATTACTAGATTTTTTCAATTGAAGAAAAATTTAATCACCAATATGATCGTTTGTACGCACACAGCTCTAAAAAAGCTCAGGATGTCATTGGAAGAGTGGAAAGAGGTCATCACCCTTCCTTAGTGATGGTTTGATGAGGAGTTTGCTTTGATGGCACCTCAATTTTTGTGAAAAATGAGTTAAAACGGCCGCTAAAAACTAGCAGGACGATATTTTGGAACCTGTTGTCAAGCCTCTAAATGATACTCTGTTTGCTGGAAGTCATTGGGTTTTCCAGCAGGATTCTGCTCCAGTTCACAAGGTCCAGGTCAACTCAGAAGTGGCTGCAAAAGAACATTCCAGAGTTCATCTCTGCCTCGGATCCACCCTGATCTCAACCCATTAGATTATCGGCTTTGGTCCGAACTGGAGAGGATGGTATGCCACAGAGCACACCCTAACTTGTAAAGCCTCAAACAATCTCTGGTCCGAGCAGTTGAGCGCTTTCCTCAAGAAGTGCTGCGTGCTGCTATTGATGACTGGCCAAGGAGATTAAATGCCTGTGTCAAGGAAAAAGGGGAACATTTTGAGTAATTTATTTTTTGTTTTATTCTCTATAGACATTCATTTTATTTTCTAATAAAGTTTTTGAAAAAAATATTTTTCTGTTGAAATCTGTATATATTTTCTTGTAACGATATTTATGACATGACTAGGTATCTAGCCATCAACAAGATCATAGATATCAAATTCCTCCTCCATCAAATCCCACGGACCTTACAAGTGGCATCCCTTATCACCTCACTGATATCACTCTCAACAAATTTAGTGTCCCAGCTCATCCCTCCTTTAAAAAATCCTTAAATGTCTTCCATCAAACCCAAATGCAATAACCTTTGGAATGGTGTTAGAAATCACATCGAAGAACTAACTGCTTCATAACTAAACAATAATGTCAATTTAGCCCCCTATTTGTGGGTACTCACTGATCAGAAAACAGCTTTTCAAAACGCCATACTACTTGCCTTATCGCACTGAACATTTCGACAGAAAGCACATGTCTTCATTAACGGCCTCGATTGATAAAAGTAGACTTATAAAAATATATATTATCTTAAACCTGAGCTATAATTTAAAGAAAAATTTAATGAAATTTTTATTTTTAAAATAGTATATTATACCTATCAAGAAACTTCATTTGACTTAATTCCTCAATTGTTGGATCTCTGATATCATTGCCAAATATTTCATATTGCTCTTGCCAAGCTCTTTCTTGAATATCAGGCAGGACTGCTAAAAAACATATTGTGTTTGATAATTTAGAAGCAACAGTGTGCCCAGCCTGAAAAAAAATATATATAAATAATAAAAATTAATCAATTTGATTTCATTTAAAATAGTGTCATTATTTTAAGTAACCAATTAGGAGCCATGGTGGTTGAACCAGTTAAGACCCTATAAAAATACTTTACATATTTTATTTAGTTTTTTGTTGAAAACCTATACACGGAATTTCAATATTTATACAATAAATAAAAATATATTGGACCGATAAGGCCCAACTGTGACAGTCACAGGTACGGAACAGTGTGTCTGAGTCGCAGCGGCCCGAGTAAAAGGGGTTTTCTCCATTGCCAAGTATCAAATTTTTTAAAAAATTATTTCAATGGAATGAATCGATCATGAAAATGAATAAATACTAATCAAGCACAAATAAAATTTTAATTAAAATTAAAAATACTAGTGTCTTGACTGTTAATAATATATATTTTCTGTGGATATTGAGATTCAACAAAACAAATCACATTGTTGTTTTAATATTCTCAAATATGATTTTATGTATACTTATATATATCGGCAGTTCACTGTAAATATACAAAGTGTATTTTTGATCTAGGTTAATTTTCAAATATGTCTTTTTTTAATTTTGACCTTATAAAATCACTGCAAATGCATGGAAAGGACACAAATCCGTTTATATGTATCGAATACAGTTACAACAAGATCACAATTTTCTGATTCCACAAAGGGATTAGTTATTGAAAGTAATGAAATATCTTTTTTGCGATAAACCTACTACTTATTAATTAATCAATGGACAAGAGGACTGTTGGTTAATAAATATAATATATAACATATTAATATATCCATAAATTAAATAAGGTTATGGAAAAGAAGACTTTTGTCACTGTCACTGGAATGATAAGGTCCAAGGCTGTGGAACAGGTTGTCACTGTTCCAAATCGAGACTGTTACACGTCACTGCTCCACCAGTACTGTCACATCCCTAGGTGTAAGTAATATACCTGTCCTATCAATCTGACTACAGACAAACTGACAAGCAGCATTGAATTCATTCCTTAATGAAAAATATAAAACTTGGTGAAAATTTTCTATTCTGGGGACAGAAATTATTTTTTTCTCCTGCATGAATACAAAGTTTCCATTCTGTTGGTGCTGAGGAAAGGAGAAAAAAATATTCAACTGTATTTTATGAAGCTAATAACTAATTTAGATAATTAGAGAAAAATGCAGGGCAGGTTATTTTTGATTTATCTATTCTACGACCCTGTTCATTAATCCTAATATTAACAGATAAAGCAAATACAAACAATATTTTATTTTTCTAAGTATTAATAAAATACAAATTTTAATACATACTGTTACGAACACTTCGTGAACATGTCTAAATATTTTTTGTTCACCTTCATTATCTCTTCTGTTCCTTAATACCATATACGTTGAGAAAGGCAGCTCTTTATTAAAACAGAAGAGAAAAACAATTTATTTCTTTAATAACATATGAAACAAAGTAAAATGTAATATATTACTAATTAAATTAAGAGTAGTGCACATTATTTTAACCGTGCCGATTAAACAAACTCATCAATTTTGTAAAGGGAAACTGGTACTTGTATAATAGCGGGAAGCGTCCGACCAGTGTTACCGCGCGCTCTGTGACAAAACCTCGTACTCAAGCCTCGTACATCCTCATATGCTTGCTCATTCATAACTTCCACTGTTATAATGCCAGTGTTATTGTTTTTTTTTAATAGTAAAATTAGATCAGAATTTTTTATTTTTACCTCCATTCATATATTTTAAAGCCTTTTTACATTACTTTTTTTTAAAAGTTAATGAGTCAAGAAGTAAAATTAGCTTAATAAAATATATAAAAAAGTTAATATATTTTTATAAACTACTAAAAACGTTATATAAAAATTAAAATAGCTAAATAAACTTCTTAAAGTACTCTTCATAAGTATTCATCCGTAGATCCAAGATTTAATTTGGGGGAAGGACTAATTTTTTTTCTTTTTTCTAAAAACAAAACAACTACTTTTATGAAAGGACGTTAGTGGTTCTGGAAGGCCAATAAAAATTAATTATTGGGGCATTAATGCTTTTAGAGATATCCATTATAATACAAAAAAAATAATAGATTGTGATTGTTTCAGTATTTAGCTTACAATTAGATCTTGCACAAAATGAATGTGGACCTCTGAAAAAATACTTTTTTTATTATTATTTACGATGTGTTCATTATGAATAGTAGTTAATTTTTCAATTGATTACTTTACTCGATTAAAAATAGAAACTATTTTTTTTTTAAATTACGGTAATCATTTAAAAAAAAAATTTATCTCGAATATATTTACAATTGCAGTTTTATGAAGGAAATAATGGATATACTTTCTCGTATTTTATTTTATGCTCTTTAAAAATGACGGTAAAAATTTCTGTTTAATTTTCTATTACAACACATTTTAAAAAATATATATTTATAAAAAAAGTTTTATTAAGGAAATAATGGATATGGTTTCTTATATTTTATTTTATTCTGAATAAAATATTTAAAAAAAAATTTTTTTTTTTTAGAAAATTAAAAAAAACATATATATACAATCATGGTTTTATGAAGGAAATAATAATCATACTCTAATTAAAGAAGGTATAATTGCAATTTATTTGTCTAGAAAGCAACAGAAGTTCAGTATTTCATACAAATATAAATAATAATACATTCAAAATAACCGTAAAACAATTCTAAACTTCATTCATAAAAATATAACCTTGTATTGCATACGTCAGCAAAACTTATGTACGAGGTACGAGGCTGATCTATCCTCGTACCTCGTACATTACGTCATAACCTCGTACAAATACGAGGATCCTCGTACAAACGGCAACACTGCTGCTATCTGCCAATGTTTATAAACTTAACACTGATAATTCTGATAAGCCACTGATAATATCTTCGTATTCATATTTATTGTATTGTATTAATATTATTGAAATTGTGAATAAAAACAAATGTTATAATAAAAAAAATACTTTTATTTTACAAGTTATTTATTAAATAGACCAAAACATTATACATATATAATTAAAAAGCATTACGAAAACATTGCAACATATATATAAAAATAAATGAAATAATAAAAATAGGAAAACAATAGGCAAAAAGAAATGAAATAATAAAAATCCACTTAAACAGCATATGTACACGTATGAATTTTGATGCCGTTAAGAAAGAAACCCTCAATCCCTCTAACCACGTTCATTTTCTTATAGCACTTATAGAAACGGTTTTGTTACAACTACGAAAGCTTCTCCATTTAGTTTTCCTGCCGAACTTCATCACAATATTTCTCCTTTGCAAATATCCCGGCATCTTGAAAATATTTGATTGCCTTTTCTTCTGAAGACGGCAATGTGACAACATCCATAATTGAATAACACTAACTCACAGCTTACAAAAGGAACAAGAATAAACAAGGGAATAACTTAGGTTAGAGGAGATAAGGGAGGTTATTTAAAATAAGATTAGGTAACAAGGGAGATTTTGGCACTATCCGCTATTATATAAGTACTAGGATACTATTTAAAAAATTAAATATGTGATAACATTATAATAGACTGTTATACTAACCATTCTTCTAAGTCCTTATTGACATTAAGCAAAATGTTAAATAATAGATGAAACTTAAAATACTTTTCTTTTCCAAAGATAACCATATTAATAGAAAAGAATAGGCAAATAAATTCAATGATCCATGAGATATGAATATGAATGAACTTCAAAACATAACACTATATTTACATTGAGAAATAACTTTGAATATAAACTAACATATGTACTGAATTGTTACACTGTCTTTTATAATTATTGACAATTACTTGAAATAAATATAAACACAGAGAGAATACTCAATCTTCATTCCACACTGACAGGCAAAAAATCCCCTTGATTTTTTCATGTTTTCATCTAAAAATATTTCTGCTTTGGATTGGTCTATTGTTTTTAATGAATAAATAGGTAATCTTTTTGTTTGTTTTCAATTAGGAATGTTAATATAGAGGAAAATAACCCTTAATCCTTAATTCAATGCAATGATTCTAGATTACAATGTTTACTTTCTATGGAATCAAAATGTTTATTCAGTATCATTAGTTCAGTGCCGTTTCTTGCAGCACATTTCTTAGTCTCCAGCTTTTAATTTTTTCAATATTAAGTTTAAAAATGCCTCTTAGTGCTGAGGATGTTGCGTGTGGTGTGGCACTTATTGATGATGGACGTTCCATTAGATATGCAGCTAATGCCATCGGAGTTCCATATGAAACTTTATGAGATGCCATCAGGCGTTTTCGGGAAACTGGTTCTTACAATAGAAGGCCCGGTTCTGGACGGCCTAGGGTAACAGAACCACGGTCTTTGACGGCCATTCGCTATGTAGATGAGATTTTAGATCCTCATGTGTTACCTATGCTCAACGAAATCGGCGATCGTTCTATTCTAAAGCACGATAATGCACGCCCACATGTCGCCCGCATAGTGCAGACGTTCCTTCAATATAACAATATTGAGGTTTTAGCCTGGCCAGCGCGTTCTCCAGATTTGAACCCCATTGAGCATTTATGGGATAACCTCGGAAGACGAATTAGAGCGTGTGCAACACTTTCTGATACACTGCAGGACCTTGAAAGGGCTCTTTGGGAGGAATGGGCTATCCTCCAGCAAAGGGACATTTCCTGACTGGTGGAAAGTATGGCGAGGTGTCTTCAAGAAGTAGTGAAGTAAGAGGAGGAAACGCGCCCTACTAAATGATGATGTAATTAATTTCTTTTAGAATAATAATGGTTCGTTTTTCAAATTTTTTTTCTCTAATCTTTCTTACCCAATCACATTTTGATTATTAAAGGTAAAAAAGATTATAAAATTCCATAAATACTAAGTATTATATACAAATACCATGTATTATATACAAATACAACTTTTTTTACAAGTGGCAGAAATATTTGTAGATGAAAAAATCAAGTTGATGGCTTTTTGGCCTGTCAGTGTATATGGAAAATATTGCGATTGTGCAATATTTCGAGTTATTAAAGTGACATTTTATTTCATCGAATATACATATTTCACATTTTTCTCAAAAACAGCTTCAACAATTTCGATTGAAGGATGGTATGTGAAAGTTGTGAGATATGCACACTGCACTAGATTTTTTTTTTAAGTTTGAATTAAATTGATTTAATTACGTATTTTGTGTGTGAATTTAATCAATTGAATTAAGTTCTGAATGAAAATTTCAGAATAAATATGTTTTGGTCAAGAATTGGCAAAAAATGCCTCATATGATTTCATATTTAAAAACTACTGTCCAAGATCGGCAAAGATTTATTGAAAAATCTGCTTTCTCTAAGGAACATACACAGAGGATCCTTTAGATCGGTAGAGAAAACCTTTAAATCCTAGCCCTTGTTATAAACTAATGCACAAAGCTATGTATATATTTTATACAAACAGAAATCATTGAATTTCTCAATACTGCAATCATTTTAAAAGGAATTGAATGTTCTTACCTTGATGTGGCTGCTGGTTTGATTTGAGCTGATTATCTATCTCATCTAACACCTAAAATACATGAGACAGCATTATTATATAATTTTTTATCAACATAATGGCATTTTAATTCAAAATGCAATTTGTAGTACAACAAACAATAATTTACCAATTTCCGCAGTTTCAGTAATTTTCCATAAAGTACATCTGACACTGATTGCAGAATGGAAAATAATGGACTGATTAAAGAGACGTTAAATGCAAGAATTGATGCCAGTTCCTTAGCCCTGAAAGAATCTAATATTATTTGTTCTGGTTTGTTCCATTGGTTGATATAGTTTTAAGTTAGAAACATTTCTTTATCTCGGGCACCTGATTTCTATTAAAGGAAATATTGAAGAAATAAGCACGTGGTGTACCTAGAGATGGCGAACACTGTTTAAGTTTAAGGAAATTTATATATCCTCTGTGAGTTCAAATGTAAAGAGAAAACTTTGGACGACCGCAATACTTTCTATCACAACCTATGGTTTCAAATTATGGATAATAGATAAAAAGACTTACCAGAAATTGAGAGTAATATTCAGAAGAATGGAGCGATACCTTCTCGGCATATCAAGACGAGGCCAGATATCAAATAAATGGATTAGAGCAATGACTGACTTCAAAGATATTGTGGAAAATGTGCAAATAAGGAAGTGGACCTGTACCAGAAATATATAGTAGACATCCCCCTGTATTTACTCCTTTAGTTGACATTGGGTGAGGGAATGAGAAGGAATATATAATATATTGGAATGTGAGGTTGCACTGTGAATTGTACTCAATTGTGCAGTGGACAAATTGCTCATTGGAAAATCTCATATCGATAAACAATCGAAAAGAAGAAAAAAGGTCCGATCAGGTAGTGGGCAACAGATGGTGAAGAGGACGCCAAACACTTGAGGTCTGGACAGGAACAAGAGAAGATGTCATCTGGGAACAGAGGCCTACTACATTGAAGACCAAGATTATTAAGCCGACCGTTCACTTATATATATTCATTTATTATCAGTTGTTAAAATAAATTTGTTTTGTTAGACAGCAGTGAATAATCATTTTATTTAGTTGTCCTATAGGCCTCACAATTAAAGAATAAACCAGATGAGTCAATTCATTCAAACTGTTTACTAAGTCCCACATTTCATATATGTATTCTTATTGTTTCTTCTCACACAATGTCACAAAAGATATTAGATCCCCGAATTCCCAACGACAGTTAAACACCCTCAAAAACTCGATATTCAGTGCCGGGGTTTTGTTTTAATAATTCACGAGTGTAAATAACCTAAATCCCCAATATGAAAGCGGAAGGCTATTCGCCTATTCCTGCCAAAAAGAATATTTACATTTAACTTTCAGTAGGTTATTTCCTTCCGCTTTTATAACGGGGATTGAGGTTATTTACACTCATGAATTACTAAAACAAAACCCCGCCACAGGATACAGACTTTTTTTGAGGGTGTTCAACTGCCGTTGGGAATTCGGGAATAAGAAGAAACAATAAGAATAAATATATGAAATGTGGGACTTATAAAACACCTTGAATGAATTGACTCACCTGGTTTATTCTTCAATTGTGAGGCCTATAGGACAACTAAATAAAAGGACTATCCACTCCTGTCTTAACAAAACAAATTTATTTTAACAACTGCTAATACATGAATATATATAAGTGAATGGTCGGCTTGATAATCTTGGTCTTCGATGTAGTAAGGCTCTCTTCCCAGATGACGTCTTCTTGTGTTGGTGTCCAGGCCTCAAGTCCATCTTCCTCCTCTCTTCTGACAAACTCCTTTCTACCTGTCCCGGGCTAGAATGCCCTCTCTCCTCTCCAGTTGTTGCTACCTGCTGGGTCCTTTCGGTACCTCCCACCTTCTTCCTTCTTTATCGATATGAGACTTTTCAAAGAACAATTTGTCCACTGCACAATTGAGTACAATTCACAGTGCAACTTCACATTCCAATATATTATATATTCCTTCTCATTCCCTCACACAATGTCAACTAAAGAGTAAATACGGGGGGATGTCTACTACAAATATCATCAGGAGGAATGTCATGCCCTGGACTATTCAGTATATGGGTTAGTCTCCGGGAGAGAAAGTAAGGAAGAGAGAACACCCGCAAGGAAGACAGGTTGAGACAAGGAGACGAAGATCTGCGGAGGAGTGGCTTGTAAGAGAGTAGCATTGCAGAGGAAAAAGTGGAAACGAATGAAACAGGTGCATTCTTTAAAGTGGTTGTAAGAGAGGTAGAAACAATGAAATTAAAATCTTAACCAAAATGTTATATTTTTGCACTTTTTCGGTTTTTCTTCCAAGGTTTGGTGGGAGAGGGGGATGTTACTGTTCACTACCTGTTGACCGAAATTGAAATACACAGGTTTGTGGAAGAACCTTATTTATGTTCTTTATATGTTCAAAGCTCGTTGAACACGTAAAGAACATCGATCCCCAAGGCACAAGTTGTAAGGTATTGGAGACCGCCGAGCACATTTTGCTTGTCTGTACGACCTATGATGAGGCACTGGCAGTACAAGGGCAAAGTTGCTGAGGAAGCCAGGACTCTATGTCTTATCGGTGTATGATCTCCATCAGACAATGACCAAGGAGAACTACTAGTACGACAAGGCCATTGTGCACGAGTGGAAAGGTGTAATCGTCCCAACCCACTTCCACTTGGGTAGAAGAGAAGCTCCGCCAGAAAGGATAGAAGAGGACAGTAAAATATAGATGCTGCACCAAGATAAGCAAGCTGTGTGCTGCACAGCCAGGAAAAAAAAAATTGTTTTGATTGTAGTAGTGGATAGTTATGCAGGTATGTGTAACTATTCACTATGGCTAACACTCATATTGCCTAACAGGCAGGGAAGTTTAAAATAATGTAAATAACCTGGATATAGGCTTTTTGAGGGTGTGTACTGTTGTTGGGAATTTGGGGACTTAATGCTTTTGTGACACTGAGTGACAATAAACAATAAGAATATGTACAAATGAAATGTGGGACTGAGTAAATACACTTTGAATGAATTGATTCACCTGGTGTGTTATTCTTCACTTGTGAGGCATATAGGACAACTAAATAAAAGTTGTCCTCTATCCACTCCTGTATAACAAAATAATTTATTTTCACAACTGTACTAAATGAATAAATGAATTGATCTTCTTAATCTTCAGTGGAGTCTGCTTCTCTCCTCTGGTAACCTCCTTCCCTTCTTAATGTCTCGGCCTCAAACAAGTTCTTCTTTGTTCTCCTTCCTCTACAGTGGCTTAATAATTAATAATTATTATTAAGCCACTGTAACTTCCTCCTCTAGCTGCTGCCATCTACCTACCCTTTTCCAGGCTTCTTCTTTGTTCTATTTTTTGTCGATTCTTTATCGATTTTATACTTTTCGATAAACAATTTGTCCACTCCACAATTGAGAACAATTCATAATGCAACCTTACATTCCTTCCCATTCCCTCACTCAATGTCACATTAAGGAGTAATACTAGAAGACATCTACTACAATTAATATTAGAAAATTAAATAAATGTTCAGATCAGCCAATTTTTTAGCTGATGAGTTTTTTAGATGTTAAATATACTAAAACGGGGTTTTCTTTAATGTAAAGGTATGGCAAAAATAACTATGATATAGTACAACTGATCACAAAACATGAAAATATCCTGTATAAAATATGATATCTATATGATACCTGTTCAATAATGCTATAATCTCGGGATGATATGCTAAACTTGTCTCAACACCAAACAAGGTTTCTGAAAAAGAGAAACATGATAAATAAATTTATTATAATGACGTGACAAAGAATGGCCAATAATAGATGATTATGTTCTAAATAATAACATACTCAAAGAAAGGTCATGTGCTACAGCTGTGCATGCAGCCTTCGAATCCACACCGGAGTATGATCTTTCCAGCATAATATCGACCAATTTGTCAGCACTTTTAGTAAATGTTTTATAATAATCATTGTCTACACGAGATTTCTTTAAATAATTATTAAAATCCTTTCTTTTCTGTTTCCACACATCATCAGAACCTGTAACACGATTAAGTAACTATCTAGATATTATATTGGGCGCAAAAATATTGAAAGTGTAATTGAAATTAAAATTATTATTCAACAAAATAGAACCCTTATAATTTATACAATTAAATACGAACAATAAAAACTAAACCATTCATAATCCATAAAATTTAATAAATTAATTCTCTTTAAAGTAATCTTTAATTACTGCAATAATTATTAATAATAAATTTCAATAATTATTAATTAAAAATTTAATAAGAAGACTGGTCATTAATTCTTTAATTGTTAATAATATTATTGAACTCTAAGTTACGTTAAATGTTCAGTTTCTGCAGAATATTGTATATATTTAAAAAAGAGCTGTTACTTTTTATTTATATGGAATGGTGTATTTCTATAACATATAGATACATTACTGTAGAAATGTTATGATACATCTGGGAACTGGATGAAGAGTGAGCCATCTTGAACTTGGTAAGAGAATGAGGTTTATCTTACCATCTCTTCTCTTATTTTCTCAAAATTATAAAAATTTTGAATTGCATTTTTAAAGGAGCTAAAGCTAAAAATTTACAGATAACAAATCATAAATACCATTAAAATAACAAAAGTCCTATTTATTATATCACCGGTTGATGATGGATTGTAAGACTATTGGTTATTATATTGTTATTTTCCATTGCAAGGTTTACTAAAACGGAATTTAGAGATTTGCATTGTCTGTCATAGACAGGTCAAAAGTTGTCAAACTAATTGTAAGTGGATACTGTTGGAATATCACAAAAGGAAATTTCATCCAACTATTCGCTAATTTAATTTTCTAAAAGATCGTATGCTTTTTTTTCGAAATAAACGGACGACAGATACCTAAATATTTAAATATAATATCATATCTAGAGTTATTAAACTACAGTAAATATATTTAAGGTTATAAATGTATCTATGAAATATTTTTATATTTCACTTCTTCTTTCACACAAGTACAATGAAATAGTAGTGGATACTGTTGGAATATCACAAAGGGAAGATTCATCAAATTATTCACTAATTTAATTTTTTAAAAGTTACATGACAATATTTCGGAATAAACGGACGTTGATACCTAATTATTTAAATATAATATCAGATCTAGAATTATTAAACTACAGTAAATGTATTTAAGGTTATAAACATATGCTTTATACATCCATGAAATGATTTTATATTTTACTTCTTCTTTCACACAAGTACAATGAAATAGTTTTTTAAACAATGCCATTGCCTTGATTAGATGGATTTTAAATACTTTTTTCAAACTTAAAAATATTTTAAAAGTTTACATTTAGATAGTAAATTGTATTTAATTTGCTTGAAAACATGTGATTCAAGTTGAATATTATTAGTTTTCAGAAATTAATATTTATAAGTTTTTTGCCACTCTCCGTTACCTTCTATAATTTTCTATATTAGATATAGTTTTTTTCTAAAATTCTCCGCTTTCCAACGATATATCATACCTATACCTTCTGACTAGTATTTCTGTAGATTCGTTAACGACCTGGATAAGCATTTTTATTTTTTTCTCCTTTATTCAATTATCAATTTCTTTCAAAAGTTATATTTAGCATTTTTTCGTAACTCATAATAATGAGAATTAGTTAATTATTTAAAAAATACATATTAAAGGTACTTTAAAGGAAGACGTATATGGACATTGGGCATTTAAGCTCTGTAAAGTGCCATCAATGGGGATAAGACCTAAATGATATTAAAGACCACTACATTATACAATGATACACTGAGTTTAATCAAAATCATAATTGTAAAATGTGTTTCAGCGTTGATATAAAGTGGCATTTCCGGTTAGGCGATTTTAAAGAAAACGTTGCTGTCACATCTAAGGCATATACCTATCTTAAATACGTAATATCAGTTTCGTACGACTTTTCGTTTTTGAGCTAGACTGCTAACATACAAACACACAGACCATTTTTCGGGACTTGGTTATTTGGACTCAGGGTACCCCAAAACGTGTATTTCCGTTGAAAACTCAGATTCAAAAATTTTCACGATCGCAATACTTACCCTTACTATATATTACATATACACGTAAGTGAAAGTAAAAAAAGAGACTGTCAATGATTAAAAAATCCTTAACTCTTAAAAATAAAAACTTTTTTCGCAATGGATTTCCCGTTTCGATCCTCATATTATTGGCCTAGTATTCTCTATATCAGCCGCCATTTTTTTAAAGCAGCGACTCTGAAACGGCAGACAAGGTTCTTGTTACTCAGAATAACATACAATTTCGTATTTTAATTTAAACCATACCATGTCATAATATAAATTGGTAATAAGACGCGATTTATAATACGTATTTTTATATGCATTAAAATTTGTCCGAACTGTGGTTTCGTTCCGTTTATTTTACGTTGATAAAAAAAAAAATCTGAATTACAGAATACATGTAAATTATAGTTATATGATTCGAGCGAACAATAGTACAATAAGATGAACAGTTGTATAATTTGTAAAATGGAGTTTGTTCAGCCTTTAGGCGAATGTGGGGTACTTCGCTAGCTAGAAAGAAACACTTTATTTTCATATAAAATATTAAAGATTGCTGCCCAATTATACTGGGGGAGGGCCCAGGTTTCACAACCGTACAGCAGAATTGGCTTAATCACGGCGTTGTATACCCGTATTTTGAGATTTCTGGAGATTTTTCTGGATTTCAGTAGCTGTGGAAGAGAGAAGAAAGATCTATTCGCACTTGTTATTCGCTGGTCTATCTCTGTTAGTTGATCATTTATTGAGGTTATTGTGGAGCCGAGGTATTTGAATCTGTCTACTTTCGGGAATGACTTAGAATCCACGCAGATCATGTTATTAGGGTGGATGTTTCGGCTAACTATCATGTATTTTGTTTTATCTACATTGACCTGTAGTCCGATTTGCTCTGCTTCTTTTAATAGAGTCCGAGCGAGTCTCTCAATATCCTCTTGATTACTTCCGAGGACAGCTATATCATCGGCATATGCTAGGATTTTATGTTTCATTCCAACGTGCACCCCTCCATCTTCGCGTGATGTTGTCCTTATTACTTTCTCTAGTGCTAAGTTGAACAGCATCGGCGAAAGTTCAGATCCCTGTCTCAAACCCGATCGAACTTCAAAGGCTTCAGATATGTCTCCTTGTATTAGTACCCTGCATTTAGGATCATTTGTACACGCCTTCGCCAACCTCACTAACTTCCGGGAACACCCAGCTCAGTCATGATCTTCCAGAGACAGTTTCTGTCAACGGAGTCATAGGCTGATTTGAAGTCGACAAATAATGCGTGTACGTCCTGATATACTTCCCATCGTTTTTCAAGTACTTGTTTCAGGATGAATATCTGATCTAGCGTACTCCCCCCTCTCCTAAATCCTGTTTGATGGTCGTCTATTATGTTTTTAAAATACAGATATTTCCGATTTAACAAAATATTAGTCATTATTTTATAGGCGACCGTAAGAAGTGCTATGCCTCTTTGTATGTGTGTGTGTATATATATATATATATATATTATATATATATATATATATATATATATACATTTCTTTTTATTTATTTTTTTTAACAAACAAAAGTAGAAGTTAAATAAAACAAAAAAAATTTTTAATAACTCCTTTACCAGACAGCGCTCAGGTGATGATCTGTAGAAATGGTCGAACAGCAGGCAATCCTTTACTATTGCAAAATCAAATTTGATATTGCGAAGTTGTAAAAGGTAGACAAAAATAAAGATATGGTTGCACATAAGTATTTATATAAATATAACATTTATATTATAAACATATGTATATTTTAACAAAATATTTCTATTACTTACGTAGAGCAGCAAATGGTCCTTCAAAGCAAATTTGAAATGCTTTAAACGCTGCATGAGGCTTATCAGCCAGGTTGGGATGGAATGATAATTTCTGAATAAATAAAATATTAATTTTAACAAATATATGCATTAAATATAATTAGGTTTCTTTACATTGTAGCTAATATATATATATTATATAAACATATACATATAAGCATGCCCATCTTAGACATTTTTCCTCATTCAAACATATTTAATTTATTTCTTAAACTGTTTTATATTATGTAATATTTGAATTTAAATATATTCAATATTTCTCTAATAAAATTGGTTTATTAATTTTTTTTCATACATTATGTATAAATATAAACTCTCGAGAAAGTTATGAGGACCTTATGGGAAAAAGAAACATCAGGAGCTTAAGTAGGAAATCAAAGAAGCAATATCCTGCTAAAATGTCTAGCCTTTACGGATGACTTGGCCCTATTGGCATAGTCGGAGGAAGAGGCGATTAGACTGATAAATTCCCTGAAAAAAATAGCTGAGAAAACTGGTCTTAAAATCTCCTTCCAGAAGACTATATTTATGACGACAAACCCCAACTTCAGGAAGAAATAAAAACAGAATTCGGTAAAATCAAGGTGGTTATAAGCTTTAAATACCTGGACGAAATAATCAGCAGAAATTTATCGGAGAAAGAAAGCATGGTGTACAGGATAAAAAATTTGGAGAAATTATGCTACTTAACGAGTAGCATTTATAATAAAAAATTCCTCCCCGAAATCAGGCACTACAATACAGTTAGTAAAGCCAGTGATACTGTACGGAACGGAGACAGTGTTCTTTCTCAGTTTGGAGAAGCTGCTGAAAATAGAAAGAAGGATTCTTAGAAGAATCCATGGGTCCAAACACCAGAAGGATACAGACTGAAATCCAATAAGTAGATTTACAGTGAAACCTCTGATTTGGAAACGGAAATGAGGGTAAGAAGACTTAGGTTTTATGGACACATGCAAAGGATGACCGAGGAGAGAGTTAAACAAGAAGATTTTCAGCAGGATTATGTTTAACCATGTTTATACCGTACATATAAAACAGGAAATACAGATGCTTGGGATAACATGGGAATTATGTAAAGATAGGAGAGAATACAAGAAACTCCTGAAAAATGCGGTGCATGTGGTGGACGTTAAAGAACTTCCGTCCAGGAGGAAGTGAGCGGAGGAGAGGAAAAAAAATTTAGCGATATCATGAAGCAGAGATGGATAGAAAGGAAGAAATTGAAAAAGAAACCAGTATCATAGTCGTGTAGTCCT